GAAGCGACCTTGAGAGGCAGCGGCTGCGGGGCGTGCGGGGGCCGGGGGCGTCCCGCGGGGGCGGGGGGCCGGGGCCAGGGGAGGGCTCGCAGCCCAGGCACTGCCGAGGGGCGGGCAGCCCCGGCTCCGTGCGGCTGCTGGCGGTGGAGCACCGGCGGAGCGGAACGGAGGGGAGCGGCAACGGAGAGCGGGTACGGACCGCGCGTCCTGCGGAGGGGAGGGGGCGATGGCGGCTACGGGGCTGCGACCCCCAGGCTCTGGGACCCTCAGGCTCCGGGACCCCCTCTTTCGGGCTGCGCTGCTCCGGAGCGCCTGCACGGTTGGGGTGGCGCGGGGCAGGTGCCGGCTATTTTGTCTCCTTTGCCATAAGGTGTGATTTCTCCTCTGAGCCCCAAATCTTTTGGGGTTTTCCGCCCCATCCCGGAGTCTCTTGTCTGCCAAGTCCTTCTGCCCCTGTCAGCTACTGGCTTAGCAAAGCTCTAGGACGAGGGCAGTTTGTAAGCACATTGGGGCAGCAAGGTGTGGGGGGTGCCTGAAGGGCGCTGAGAGGCATAATCTTCCCTTGTTTGGTGGCATTTTATTCTGCCGGACGACTCTGCACTGGAACGGCTGGGGACCGCTCACACTCACTGGCTGTCCAGCTCTGCTGGGGCCTGTCACCACCAGGAGAGACGCTGGGATGGCTCAGAGTGTGCTGGGCTAGCTGGGGCTGCTCTGGCAGCAGGCAGCTGCCCTGCGGGAAACTCTCGGGTTGGGTTTCTCCACAGCCTGGCTCTCATCCTCATGCTTGGCTCAACAATGTAATTCAGACCGGGGGGGCATGCAAGAGGGCCTGCGTGGGGCCAGGCTGTGAGGGGCTCGTGGCATCCCTGACACTACAGGAGAGAGCAGAACAGATGTGTCTTGCATCCACATGCTCTTCCTTGTGCTTGCTTGTGTTTCCTTTGATTGGAAGGGATGATTCCCTTCTCTTCTGCATTTGTGGGGACGGCACTGCTCCATGGCTGGGACTGGGCATGCTTAGGCTGTGCTGGGAGCCTGGAAGGGCTGGCACTGGGGGAGAAATTTAGCTCCAAACTCTCAGTGTGGTTATGGGCCCATGGGATGCAAGCTGCTCCCTACATGCTGCCACCTTGTACACATGCATGGCAGAGTGCCAAGAGGACAGAACTCTTGGTGGCACTGAGCCCATCTTTGTCCCCGTCCAGCATGTCTCCCTGCTTCTCCAGCTCTGGTGCCTCTTTCTCCACTCCATCTTCTCTAAAACATGCCTGTCTCCCTCATCTGCTGTGGCACGGGGGCTGCAGAGCTGGTGATCACCTGGAGCTATGGCCCTGTGAAGTGGCTGTGCCAGGCTGGGTGCTGCTGGAAAGCAGGAGGGTGCAGGCAGATGGGTGACTGGGGTTGCCCCCTTGGTTCCCTGAGGGTCATGGGGTGCAGGGGCTGAGAGCACACTGTGGGGGGTGGATGTGGGGCTACTGGAGCCGTGTTAGCCAGCATCAGGGCACAAGAGGAGCACAGGGCTTACCCCCATTTTTGGGTATGGGCACTCCAAGTCTTGTGCCAGTGGGTCAGTGCCCTGTGGGTTGGGTGTGGGGGGATATAGGCACTGCAGCAAGTCCTGAGCCTTGCAGGAAGGACCAGTGTTGGGAAAGCACAGCCCCAGCTCTGGGCACTGGGAAGGCATTTCCCAAATACCCCATGTTTCCATCAACATGTGAAGTCCCCAAGAGTGGACAGATGATCCCTATGTGCCCTGGGGACAGCCAAACAGCCACAGATTGCCCCATAAGTAGGGTGTCTCACAAGGGCAAGGCTACAGCCCTGGCCAGTGCTGTTCTGCCCTGCTGAGCCACACTGAACAGGAGATGGCTGCTGTCTGGCCTGAGAGCCCACAAGGGTCTGGCAGTGGCTGAGCAGCTGCCTGCATGCTGACGGCACTGGCTATTCCCAGCCCTGCATCACCGGTGCCTGTGCTGAGTCAGGGACCCAGGGCACAGCTGCCACCCCTGCACCCTGGCACAGAACCCTTTGCTCCCAGGGACCCTTGGTCCCCTCCTGCACCCAAATCCCAGCCCACCAGCTGCTCCTCCAAAGCTAAGCTCCAGCACCTGGGTGACAGGCGCATCCAGTGATTTGTCAGCATCATTAAAGTCTCAACAGCCTAATCAAAGCCTCATTGTCCAGTAGTATTTATAGTCCCACTCACTGCCATGTGCTCCCTGTACAGCTGAGAGTGCAGTCACTGCCTGGGGTGCTGCTATTCCCTGGGGAGAAGAGGCTGTAGGAGCTGAGGGTCATTGCTCTGTGTTCCCTTCCTTGCTATCACAGCTGTGCCTCTCCTTTACTTTCAAATTTGCTGGTTGGGGTTGTTTCCTAGGTGGTGGAGGGTGTTCTTGGGCACTGCCAGAGCAGTTTTTCCTGGTTTAAGCAGCTGCTTCTTACCTGGGAGCAGCAACCTGGGAACAGCAGGGCTCTGGTACCCACTGGGCTGTGGGGCATCAGCGCTGGCAAGTTTTTCTGTTTTCCACAAACACCTTTTGAGCTCCGGCTTCCCGGTAACACAGATTAATATTTCATGAGTATGGCAGTGTGAACTCGACACTTAAGGAATGCAATGACCCAGCAGGAGACAGACACAGGTGCGCTCATATGTGGGCAGGGGCGCACACACCTCGTGCACACGTGGGTATGGCTGGAGCCCACTTGGCGGGACTGGGCACAGCATGAGGGTCTGACCTTGTTCCCCCCAGCCACCTTCTCTCTTCCCTCCCCAGCAGCTGCCAGCGTGGAGAAGGCAAAGCTATGGCATCGCTGCTGTGCAACGCCCGTGAGTGCCCCAGCAGAGGATGGGTGCAGGGCAGGGCATTGGGCCATCTGGATTTATGCCGAGGCAAATCTGGCTTCTGGGATGAGCTCACCTTGCTGCACTCAGAAGCATACCTACCCCACCATGGCCATTGGGATTTTGGCTTGGAAGTGCCAAGGGTGGATGGGAAGGGTTGATGGGGAATTACCCTGTGCA